CTTCGTTGAAAGTGAAGCTATCGGAGAGGGGTAAGTGGGAATGAGTAGAGCTAGGTTGGCTCTTGTCACCTGAATTGAGCGATTTCAAAAACGTTCCGATTCCAGAGATTTTCCCCGTTGTGATCATCGTTGTGATCCGTCTGTGATCATTTTTGCGAACCGCGAGTCGCTACGCTTTGGACGTCCATGGCAAGCTTCATACACGGCCTTTCGTAAAAAAAAGAATTGTGCCGGAAGCTTGAAGATTTCTACTTTCCAGCAAGGCTTTAATTTTCTTCCTAGGCCTGCTATTCGAAAAAATTCCCCGTTGTGATCATTTCGTAACCACTCCCCCACGACACGAAAAATCAGCCCCTCCGAGGCCATGAAACCTCCAGTTGGCTTGAAGACTTTGGTATGCTTCTAAAACACATGTTTTCGCAAAGGGTATCAGGAAATAGGCCATTGGGCGCCAATCACCTCTGCAATGCGCCATGCATGGGGCTTTCACGCAGGTGTTTGGAAGGTGTAACTTCTAGATAGGGCTTCCCAATTGCAAGCAAATGTGCTCCTGCAATCAGAAAAGTCCGGGAATGTACTTTCGTCTGTTTATTCATCGTCAGTCGTAAGTCCTTTCCATTGTTTATAAATTCATGGTGCCCTTGTGGGCGGTGATCGTAGCTCCTATCATCGCCCCTTCCTCGTACGTATTGTCAGTATGCTACACCAGCGCCAGAGTGCTGGACGTGCTTGGGACGTACGTAGGTACTGCGACCCCCCCCTCGACAGCAAAATTTTGTAAAAAAAACCAGAAATTTTTGGGAAAAATAGTACAAGAAGTTATGGGTGTTCAAATGAGGGGTACTTTTCACGTGTTTGGCTTGAAATTGGCTCCAGGCCGTAAAATAGCGCGCACCAATGAGCTTGTATGAGCGCGCTGACCGCGAACAGCCAAAATTCAAAAGTAATCCATAGTTCCGGTTCCCAGCTGGCCTGGTGAGTTTTTTTCTTATCCATTTGATTGTGAATTATTTTGATTGTTTGTTTTTGTTGAGTTTGATTTTGTTGTGAGGAAATTGCTCAGGATTCAATTTCTACGGTTTCATAGGTAGCTTTTGCAATGGATTCTTTTCTAGATTTTGCGGATTAGTGGATTGGGATTTATCTAGACCAGATGAGGAGGGTTGGTGGGCGAAGTGTCTTGAAATTTTTTTCTGTGAGGAAGGAGGAAAAAGTTCCAGCAAGTTCGGTGCCAAAAAGATTGCTGGCTCTAAAGTGGTGACCGATGGTGTCAGGTGGCACCAACACTGAAAGGTAACGATTTATTCGTGACAAGGATGTCAAATAACCCAAGTGTAGAGGTTTCTACCGAATCCTGTGACAGAACGGCCCAGCGCCAAAATGGCGCCTACTGGCGCCATGTGGCGCCAAGGAACAATTAAGATCTGGTGCCATATGGCACCAACGACAAATAGGGGCCCACGCAGTAAAAACGTGTTTGCGAAACTGGCGGTGTAGCAAGGAATTACGACTTTCCCACGGCCCCGTACTCTGACCCCGTGCAGTTTTGGGCGGGGGGACCACGACACATCGACAGCTGGGGGGCTGATAGTCTCATACACCCTCAATGTGTTTGAGCGTACCATGTGTCTTTAAAGGTACGGTCCGCGATCAGGTATAGAAGTTGAAAATATGGTGTCGGGAGGGTAGTGTGGTCCACGACGAACAACCTTGTACCGGTTTCGCATCAAAAAATTGTAAGGGAGGGGCGCTATAGCGCAATATAGGTTCAGTGACGCCTTTTTTTCCAGTGACTCCGCCTCCAGACTCCGCCCTCAAGGCCCGCCTTTCAGTGAAAAACGAAGCTGCAGGACGAAAAAGCATGAAAATTGTCACTTTACGGTCGTAGAGTTCTTATCGGGAATCAGGTGTGCGGATGAGGGCGTAATGTTGAAGATGGAGTTAATTGGGCACGTACAAACTGGAATCGGAATGGGGTTCTATTTAGGACAGTTGGCATATTTTTCCTTATTTTTTCTTCACTATCGCATTGCTTAGAACCTAATCGTCTATATGCAAGCCCCTGATCCACTATCTACAATGTTCGCGTTCACTTTTTTGCTGTGCGTGCAAGCGTATTATACTCAACACTGAGCAAAAAGATATCTATTCCCACCAACAGTCACACCTTTAGCAAGCTTATCGATTGCTACCTGGATAAATGATGATGATGGCTCCTCTTACACCTTCTCTTTAAACGGCTCTTCCCTGTTTCATTTTAATAATTTACACATTTTAGAAACTTTTTTGTGGTATCATTGTTTTTTTTTCTTTTTTTTCCCCATGCGGGACTTTCTCGGATGTTCTGTTTCATTGTTTGTTGGCTGATGTGTATACACATGAGTTCGCTCATGTAATAAATGATGATGATGATGAATGATCGCGGGTTTTGCCTTTAAAGACACATGGTACGCTCAAACACATTGAGGGTGTATGAGACTATCAGCCCCCCAGCTGTCGATGTGTCGTGGTCCCCCCGCCCAAAACTGCACGGGGTCAGAGTACGGGACCGTGGGAAAGTCGTAATTCCTTGCTACGCCGCCCGTTTTTGCAAACTCACGTTTTTACTAACACCGTCCGCGCGGCGCGGTCGCGTGCAGCTCTCTTGGCTTTTTGCCAAGTCCTGTAATTGCGCTTTGGAATACAAGTACAACGCAATTTCTTTATGCGGATAACATTTTAGGTTCTGCAAAATAAGAACTGAAGATGATGACGAGGGCTAGAACTCAAGAGCAACTGTGCTGCTTCTGCAACAGCCCTCGCAGGCCGCGCATTCCCACAAAACATCAAAATAAAAACGGCCTAAGCGTCCCACTCGTTAGTTTGAAGTATTTCTATAGCATTAGAGCCGGATTCGAGCCGGATCGCAGAAATGCACACGCGATTTTAATTTATTTCCTTAGTTTTTTCAATTTTGTTTTATTTACATCTACATTCGTTGTTGTTCATTTCTAGCCTTTGTCATCTTCATCACCTTCTATTCGGACTTTGAAGCATGAGCAATACCTCAAATGTTAGGAAATTGCGTTTTGCTTGTATTGTCATGTTTTATTGTCATGTTGTCCGTTTTTATTGTCATGTTCTGTGGGAATGCGCGGCCTCTGAGGGATATTGCAGAAGCACCACAGTTGCTCTTGAGTTCTAGCCCTTGTCATCATCTTCGGTTCTTATTTTGCAGCACCTAAAATGTTATCCGCATAAAGAAATTGCGTTGTACTTGTATTCCAAAGCGCAATTACAGGACTTGGCAAAAAGCCAAGAGAGCTGCGACGCGCGCGCGGATGGTGTTAGCATAAACGTGAGGGCGGTGTAGCAAGGAATTACGACTTTCCCACGGCCCCGTACTCTGACCCCGTGCAGTTTTGGGGGGGGACCACGACACATCGACAGCTGGGGGGCTGATAGTCTCATACACCCTCAATGTGTTGAGCGTACCATGTGTCTTTAAGCATTTTTTCCATTTTGTTCATTTTCAATGTAACTTCCCTTTCTGTTCAAATATCCTACTATATAAACGGCAACGTCTGTCTGTCTGTCTGCCAACTTCAACTGCGAACCATACACTCAGTGTTTCCTGAAGTAGAACAACGACTCCATTAACGACGATTTCATTTTATTTTCGGATGAACGGAAGGACAAGTTCTTCTAAGTGTTTCGACATTATTCGGCTCAAGGGCGGGGAGGGGGATTTTCATTTTTACTACTTCCAAGTCCATTACGATTCTAAGTGAAGTAGGAGCCATATCCCAAGAAGGCACTGATTAACGGCTTGACTTGTGACGAGCTTTTCAGCCAGTGACGAGAGCTCTAGGCTTTGTTTTTGGTGCTCGGCGAAAACCAAAAACAAACCCCCTCTTCCCTCCCCCCCTTTCCCAAACCGAACTGCACCAGCGTTTCGTATGTTTGCGGAGCGGTGAAAACAAAACGTTTCCAATGGAATTATTCACAAACAAAAAGAGAAATGGATCGAAACACGAAAAGCACGTGTCAGAAAGAATTAAGCACTTCTAGCATTCACATATATAAGGCATAGATATGCACCATTTTCTTTTCAGATTCACTACTTTTCTATCCAAATCTTCTACACTTTAAGTCGCTACCATAATGGACATTCAGGTCACTATATGGCCCTAGACACTACTGCAAGCCGCCCCTTGGCTGAGTTCGCTTTCCGAGACATTTTTTGCGAACTTACGGTCTTGCTTTGCTTTTTTGCATTTCTCCTTTTCAAAGTGCATAGTGCATCGATGGGTTTCGCCTATTGTGAAGAGCTCTGCAACTTTGTGTTGACCCCGCCCATTTCCATGAAATGGGGATTCGGATTGAAAAGTCGTGAATTCAGAAAAATCCAAAAATTAAAAATATTACACGCATACAAAATCTGCAAAAGCACCCGGAAAGTAAGATGCTCCGCTTTATAATCACAAAAGGAGGTACTGTTAGCAATTTCTTGACACATCACATTATCTGATTTGCAAAAAGGTTCTCTAATCAACTCTAAAGCAATACTGAAAGAAAGATCCTTAGAGGTAAACTCTGACAAGAACTGCTGACAATGGCTGAAACTGATAAACAACGGTAAAAACAACTGAAAGAATGATGGAATAAAATTTTAGGTAATAACAATATTCAAACCAAAACGAGTTCGGCTTCTTTGGGAACACCGAATCGGGTCTTGTGCTGTTCGAAGAGATCTATAAGGCGTCGCAGTACTGACGATGAAGGCGATCCACTTCTTCATCAGTCGGTTCAAGAATCTTCGGAACGTCTATTGGAGCACCAATGACTGTGTTGATCGGCCTTCGATAAGGCAAAAAGCCGAAGTTCAGCTGGAATCGGGTCGTACGATTGTGCCACTTATATTTTGGGGAACGGATGTTACAGATATGAGGACAACTTCATCTTTGAGGGGAGTTACAACTTCATCTTCAAAGGGGAGTTTAGGAATTACCTGTGGCGAAAACGAATCCACCTCAGCTATGTCCCTGAGGACAAATTTTACACTCACCTACGAGACGGTTCTCGCCTTAGTACGAGGCGAATAGTTAACAGTAGCAAGCCTACTTTTCAACAGCTCATGGGAGCAGGGCCAGAAAACAGAATCTCCCGAGTTTCTACACTCCACAGGCGCTCTACTCAAGGTGCAGCATCGATACCAAGGTCACGCAACGGAGCACGCACTCAGGGGTCGAGAACAATCAGAAGTTTGAGAGCGCAGACAAGTAGTGCGTATGGCTATGGTTAGGCGCCTCACTGGGTCTGCGGCAGTGCGGGGCGACAATCAGACTGTCCATCCACGTTTCAAGCTTTTTTGACCAGAGAAAGTGGCACGGTGATGAAGCCGTGAACCCACGGTCTCCAACATGGCAAGAATATAGGATCGAGCGAGGTGATTGCAGTGTACAGATTGTCTTGGAGAGAGCGGAACATTTTTACCATATAGGATTTCTCGGTATTCCTTCGAATATTTCGAATAGTTGTGGTGTCTCACCTGGAACAAGCCTCTCCCGTAGAAGAAAGGCACTGAAATTCCGATCAGGTTCTTGACCCAAGTCTGGAATCTTCGCACCATGGAACCCTCTGGGTTGTCGAGCTAAATCAAAGTATTCGACGACAAAGTATTTATTTGAGACTTAGTTTCTCAGATGCCCCGTTTGGGCTTTCACTGCTCAACTTCTGTCTGACCTGCTGGTAGATGTCAGTCTCTCCAAACGAATACACAGGTACTAGCGAAGCACCGCATCGAAGTGCTTGCTTTACGAAACCTTTTCGAGTTAGCAGCTTGAGTTTGTGCACTCCAGGTCGAGCATAAAGGGCTTCTTCAGCTCCTCCTAAGATATTGAGCATTAGGGTACAGATAGCTCATATTTGATATATTTTTATAATTTCCCTCTCCGTTTTCCCACACAACTGTGATTGGTTCAGTATCGCTAACATTTAGAAAATAACTTCTCCTACCTACTGCAACGACCGCAGCTTGTCCAGCTTTCTTCATCGTGAGAACATTTTGAATGCTTTCCTTCGAACAGTCTATAAATCCGGAGAGCAATAGCCATTCCCTCCTGAAAATACCATCTGAAATCATGTTGTTTTCACTATTGGGCGTAAACCGACTCACCTGAGCATAAGATTGAAGTTTAATCCGAGTATACAGGCGAAAAACCTGATTCCAGGAAACTGAACAAAATTACGCTATAATTCTGTCGTTTGGACGAATAGTTCCAACACATCCTTCGCAGTGTAGGAACCGGAGAACGAATTAATCAACTGATGAGGCTATTAGTTGAAATCAGGGGACGTACGTCGGGGAATCCCTGGCGGAGAGGGGGTCATCTCTCGCTTCAAGAAAATTCTTCCTTGCGCGGGATTTTTTGGTTTATGTAGTGCCGGATTTTTTCAGTAGTTTGGTGGCGACATCCCCTTTCCCTCTCCCGACCCAAAAGTTAGTTCTTGGTAAAATCTGGTGGTGTGCTGCAAAAATCTTCCCTTACTAGGAGATGTGCTCTGGTTGAGATAGCCAACATATGTGCCTTCCTCCTAGAATGGTAGTGGGAAGGGATGAGCCAAAGAAGAACACACAGCAGATGACTGTCACCAATATCCAATCCTGGATTGTCCCTCTAACGTGCAGTGCTTGGCGTTCAAAGTCCTTTTTGGAGAGCGAAAACCCAGATTCTGAAGAAAATTTGGTCACCTTTTTGCTCCTCCCACTTGCATCAGCGACGAAAGCTGCATAGAGCCCGTAGCAGATAATTCCGTGTGGATGAGCTGCTATGAGGTAGTTCTAAAAATTTCGAAATGAGCTTGGTGGTATAAAAAAGGCGACTCCACTTGTAACTAGTGGAGCACGATCTACAGCCTAAATACCATCCTACTATATATAATCTAAGTATGTATCTAATCTTGTAAGTGATGTAATCTCTGTGTAATGTGTCTAGTAAGTATCTAATCTATGTATGTCTGTAAGTGTGTGTGTGTGTGTGTGTGTGTTTGTGTGTGCGTCTGTCTGTCTGTCACGAAATTCATAGCGAGCGTCGCAGAAAAGATAGGACGACAGTTCCAAGAAGTGATATACATGGCAGGACGGGAACACTTTTGGTGGGTGATAGAATGTGATAGCACCTGATAAGATTCGATAAGGGGCCTTAGAAGGGGAGGGTGACCGAGCCCATAGTGCGGGACACAGTAACAGTGGGACATTGGTTCCAAGGTATGATATAGGACGTGGAGACAGGAACATTATTGATGGGTGACAGGGAATGATAGCAGCTGATAGGATTTGATAAGGGGAGTTAGAATGGTAAGGTCACCATACTCATAACGCGGAACACAGCATCAGCTAGGCATTAATTTCAGAAAATGATATAGAGTTGGAGATGGGGACACGGCACGTGAGGTGATAACAGCTGATAGGGGCTGATAAGGAACGTTGCCAATGCTGTTCAGTCAAATTGCTGGAGCCTTTACACTACCGAATTATAAAGTTTTAGTGATAGGGAGATGACGGGTGACAGGATCTTATCAATTGATAAGAAAGGATAAGTGGTCATTATCATTACCTCTCTTATCACTATACCCCAAGTATCAAAGGCTCACTGTGCGTTGCATACTTTTCCTTTAGCCATCACATCCCTGACTGCCCTAGAAAATGAACTCATCCCACTATATAATGCCGATGTCGACGAGCGGGGAGGGAGGGGGTATGTAGTTCGGTAGTTTGCCTGAATCGGGAATCTCAGGAGAAATTCGAGGAGAAACGGAAAAACACGAGCGGAAGGCTGCTAATTGAAAAGGAAAGCGTTCGTCGGTAGGCATTCCGGTGCAGTAATGGAAACGAAATCTGCTATTTCACTGAGCGATTCATATTGCGCTGTATTGGCCGACTACACATTCTATCTATCTACAAATTTATGTATTCTATGGGCGTCATGGCGCGGACTACACCACTGCTGCGAATAGCAGCCTGTGCTCATTGGTGCACGATCCCAAGCCTTGCTCTATCTACGATTCGATCACTACATCGCCGCATGAGCAGCCTCACTATTGAAAACGTTCCGTTAAAATTATGGAGCGAGCCTGGCGAAGCCAGGCCAGCTCGGCGAAGCCGGGCTAAAGAGAAGGAGGAGAGCTCGGCGTTAGCCGGGCGATCCGACTGGTTAATCATAATACAACAACAGAAAACTTACTCTATCGGTTGGTAGATCGGCTGTTTTATGCAGAGACGCAGGAAAGTAATTGGTATACCACTCATTCCATCTTAACCTGAAAAATGCCCTGAACCGATGAGTTTTTGAAACGAGTTTAGAGAATACATGCACAACCGCAGCTCGACAAACCTCTGCATCCACGGATTCTTGTAACCACCATTTTGCGGAGATTTTCGGTCGTATAGATACCAGGGGATGTACAGTAGAAGAAGAGGCCAGTAAGTGAACCACTGCAAAATGATCATATTACTGTGTAGTTCCTAATATGGAAAAGTGAGGCTTAACAGGCTCCCATATCGTAGTCAAACCCCAAATTGTTGGCTTACGACCTCAAAGTGGAAGCGCAGCCATTCGTTTCGTGTGTGAAAGGTGTACTTAGCCCTAGCCGGCCGTGGCGCCAAGGTATTCAACAGCTACTTTCTTTTCTACTTTCTACTTTCTCGAAGTAATTAGTTGGTGATGACCTTCCCTTTCCTGGTCGACAGCAGTTTTTTTTTTGGCTGGGTTGGAGGGGCGGAACCGAAAACCTCTCGGAACGCTGAGGAAATCGCGTCAATTCGGGGCGATTTGTGCGGGGTGAGAAGGGTGATCGTTCGTACCAAAAGGAAAAATTCGGGAGGGGTATAGTTGTACATCCGATTTCTCTCATCCTCTTCAGGGCACATCATTGGTCGGGGATTTCCAAATCTGTACGACCCCCCCCCCTTCTTGGGGTGGGGGGGGG